TGTGATTAGAGTCATATATCCGATATACCCTTCCGTCTTTTATTCTATTGTGATGGAAGTCATATATCCGATATACCCTTCCGTCTTTTTATTCTGTGTGATGGAAGTCATATATCCGATATACCCTTCCCGTCTTTTATTCTGTGTGATGGAAGTCATGTATCCGATATACCCTTCCGTCTTTCATTCTGTGTGATGGAAGTCATATATCCGATATACCCTTCCGTCTTTTTATTCTGTGTGATGGAAGTCATATATCCGATATACCCTTCCGTCTTTTTATTTCTGTGTGATGGAAGTCATATCCGATATACCCTTCCCGTCTTTTATTCTGTGTGATGGAAGTCATATATCCGATATACCCTTCCGTCTTTTATTCTGTTGTGATGGAAGTCATGTATCCGATATACCCTTCCGTCTTTTATTCTGTGTGCTGGAAGTCATATATCCGATATACCCTTCCGTCTTTCGTTCTGTGTGGTGTTAGTTATATATCCGATATACCCTTCCCGTCTTTTTATTCTCTCTGTGATGGAAGCCATATATCCGATATACCCTTCCCGATCTTTTATTCTGTGTGATGGAAGCCATATATCCGATATACCCTTCCGTCTTTTATTCTGTGTGATGGAAGTCATATATCCGATATACCCTTCCGTCTTTCATTTCTGTGATGGAAGTCATATATCCGATATACTCTTCCCGTCCTGTTATTCTGTGTGATGGAAGTCATATATCCGATATACCCTTCCGTCTTTCATTCTGTGTGATGGAGTGCTTATATCCGATATACCCTTCCCCGTCTTTCATTCTGTGTGATGGAAGTCATATATCGATATACCCTTCCCGCCTTTTATTCTCTGTGATGGAAGTCATATATCCGATATACCCTTCCCGTCTTTTATTTTGTGTGATGGAGTCATATATCCGATATACCCTTCCGCCTTTCATTCTGTGTGATGGAAGTCGTATATCCGATATACCCTTCCCGCCTTTTATTCTGTGTGATGGAAGTCATATATCCGATATACCCTTCCGTCTTTCATTTTGTGTGATGGAAGTCATATATCCGATATACCCTTCCGCCTTTCATTCAATGTGATGGAAGTCATATATCCGATATACCCTTCCCGCCTTTTATTCTGTGTGATGGAAGTCATATATCCGATATGCCCTTCCCGTCTTTCATTTTATGTGATGGAAGTCATATATCCGATATACCCTTCCCGCCTTTCATTCTGTGTGATGGAAGTCATATATCCGATATACCCTTCCCGCCTTTTATTCTCTGTGATGGAAGTCATATATCCGATATACCCTTCCCGTCTTTCATTTTTGTGTGATGGAAGTCATATATCCGATATACCCTTCCCGCCTTTCATTCTGTGTGATGGAAGTCATATATCCGATATACCCTTCCCGCCTTTTATTCTGAGTGATGGAAGTCATATATCCGATATACCCTTCCCGTCTTTCATTTTATGTGATTGAAGTCATATATCCGATATACCCTTCCCGCCTTTCATTCTGTGTGATGGAAGTCATATATCCGATATACCCTTCCCGCCTTTTATTCTCTGTGATGGAAGTCATATATCCGATATACCCTTCCCGTCTTTTATTCTCTGTGATGTAAGTCATATATCCGACACACACACACTCTGCGCATTTCAGCCTGAATGATATTATATAACATAGACCGTATACACCCCCAGCATTTTGTTCTCAACACTTTTATCGAATGTAATTTATTTGACTTCAACTTGGAGCAGTACTCAAAACAATTGAACTATGCAACCAATTTAAAGTAAAAAGACAATGTATAGATGCAGCAAATTGGATCACGAACACTTAAATGCTGAAAACTGTTCACACCTACAAAGCCGATTACAACGACAAAGAATCAGAATTATTTCAGAAACACAACTTAGTGTTTGAACTATTTCATTAACGTGGACGATTATATGATATTAATGAGTGATGTAGATTACATTATGTTTGCATTCTAACATCACACATTTAATCAAAATGAAACATCATAAACCATGAGAGTTTTGATTGAGTAGGAAGTGCCGCAAGACATACACGAGTGAATAACTGACGAGTACAAATATAATCAGAAACTCTTAAGGTGCTTCCAAATAATATTGCACAATTAAATGTGAGTTACATATTCTCAAAGGAATATGGAAATGATAATTTTTAGTGTTTCCACACAAAAACAAACTAAATCATATTCCGCGCATAGATTACCTTAAGTTTTAGAGTTAAGCAGTTCTGCAGTTAATAGGGTTTTACTAATATTGTGGACTGTTTATCCCAGTTCTGGTCGCTGGCCAGCGAAGTAGCCAGCGCCTGCTCCTGCTACAGCTACAGCTACACCAGCAGCAGTAACGGCAGTGGATCCACTACACTAAATCAGAATCATATGCTCCCTGAGCGAGAACCGTGTGTAAACAACTGAAGAGATAGAGACTTGTGACAACTGTGATTGGATGAAATTGTGTGAGATGTTTATGTTTTTAAGCACATCCATCCAGCAATTAAAACTGACCACAATTTTAATTATTTAGTGCTGTCATTTTATCACCATGACTTATGGTTATTGTGTGTACAAGTATTTTCCAGTAGGTGACATTTGGTGCGGAACTGGGGTTGATGTGTTCCGCTTCCTGTGCTCGGAAAATGAGCCGGACAATTTGGCCAGGAATTATGTTTTATTGTAGTTTTAAGGCCTGACTGAACCCTTTGTCTACCTGGAATGGCTGTTGGTAGTCTGGATAATTTAAAAAAAGTGAAGGTTACTACAGAAATCTATGGGAAAACATTTGGTGTCGTGTAACCTAGTAAAGCCAAGCGCCGACGACCTAGAATTGTATACTTCCGGCACAGCAACTCGGTCTTTGACGATTCAATAAAAACTAACAAATGCATCCCCACAGAAAGCACGTGTATATGCCTCCTACACACACACATCGGTGATATGGACAAAAGCTCTTGATACTTGTGAGACCTTTAAAATACGATATATTGGTTGATGTGTGCGAATATTGTCCGGTTTTCGATCTTGTCGCCGATTTCAGTGATGAACCTTTACATATTATATAGTTGGGGTGGGGGTTGGGGCTATGTTTGGGAAATGTCGACTTACTGCTTCCAGCATTATTGCAGGCTTCAAGACTGCGACAAGTTATGGACATTCACAGAGAAACGAAATATACTGAGTCAAAAAAGAAACTTCACATTCTTTCTTCAAGGCACTATAAAAGAACAAGAGATGGTAAGATGGTTAAAGTGTTATTATTTCATTGCTGAGATCTGTGTGTTGTACTCGATACACTGACAGTGTCATAATCAGTTCCATTAGGCTACACCGCCGTTCCAAAACATGGGTATACAGAATGTCAAGTCACAAGAATAAAAATGCGAAATTTCTCAGTTCAATATCGTGTATGGCCGCCCCGCGCATTCACCACTGCCAAACAGCGTCTCCTCATCGACTGCCTGATGCTTGTGAACTGCGCAATTGTTCTTGCAAGGCAGCGCCAAGTTCCTGCAAATTCTTGGGTTGGTTCCTAAGACCACGAAGCCTTCTCCCAAGTGCATCCCAAACGTGCTCTATTGGATTAAGGTCAGTGGACCTCGATGGCCAGTCCATGACGTTGATTCCAGCGTTTTGAAGGAAATTTCGTGTCAACATCGCGGTATGCGGCCGAGCATTATCATGCTGGAACTGTAGACCTGGGCCATGGGCCGCCATGAAAGGAACGAGTTCAGGGGTGAGCACCTGGTCGCGGTAAGCAGCAGCTGTGAGGTTTCCACGGATGACCAGAAGTCGGGAACGGTTGTTCCCACAGAAAGCACCCCACACCATGCAACTTCCGCCCCCGAATCTGTCGACTTCCTGTACACAACATTGTGCACGACGTCGTCTCCAGACTCTATGCCTGCCGTCCGCGAATCTGAGGTAAACCTGGATTCATCGCTAAAGATTCCAGTCTCTGGGTCCATCGGAGGTGACGGTGGGCCCACAGCGAGACGTTGACGTTGATGAAACGGCGTCAATATTGGCCCACGATGTGGACGTCGAGAATGGAGATTGGCAGCCCGCAACCGATTTCGAATGGTCTGTGAGGACAGTCGACCTCTAAACATCTCAGCCCTGGTTCGTGTAGCTGGCAGAAATCTGTCAAGTAGGTGACGTAGGACGGTCTTCTGCTCGTGACGTCACACGTGGACGACCCGACCTTGGGCGATCAGAAGTGGTGCCAGTTTGTTGTAGACGACCTTGCAAGTCATACACAGTACGACGGCTGCATCCCATTGCTCTTGCGACGTCAATAATTGATCTTCCCGCCTACAACATGCCAACGGCACGTTCACGTTGCACATTTGGCAATCGTTGCATTTCAAGTACCGTTAGAACAGTGGTTTAAAAGTGTTTTTTCAATTCTTGAGGCCAATGCAAACACGTGCATATGAAGAAAACTTCGATGCGAAGATCACGTGATCGACTTCACGTGCAAAACCTGATTTGGCACTAACGTCATTTGCACGACGAATGGATGGGTTTGAGTGGGTTTTGCTAACGTTTTTCTAGAGTCGAAAGATAGGGATCCCATTTCGGATACATAGATGTATCATCAGAGAAAAATTATTCATTATTTTTCATTTTGTGAAGTTTCTTTTTTGACTCAGTATATATCCTGCTGCCACATATTCGCCCATTGTATTGCACATTTCAGTTCCAAGCCTATATCCCTTCCATTAACATGTTTGTTCAGTATGCAGTGATTTGGTCTGGTTATTTGATCCTTGTATTATTTCATCATGTAGCTCTGGTTCTGGATAAACATTGTTTTCATGTTTGAAATCACCTCGTATCAATAAATTGGAGATCAAGAAATCGCTACTCCACTGTACTCAAATGTACCTGTAGACTGTGCAGCTGCAACGAGCCCCGCGCCAACTCCCGTCGTCGCAGCTGTATACATCCCGGCCCCGATAGCAACTGGCCCCAGTACCGCACCTGCTACAGTTCCACCCACAACAGCGGGGACCCAGGCCCACGGGCTATCCCAGAAACTCTTCTCCTTGTCCTCTTGAAAACATATTTCATGCATTAGGTTTCTTACTCCAAATTTTATACGATACAAGATAGAAAGTCAAGAATTCGTAGAGTAACAGCCGATTCTTGAAAAAACATAGAATCATTTTCTTCACAGTGATTTCACCACTGTTCCCTTATAAAACCCCACAATAACACAATGACCTTAATGGTTTTGACACGGACATAGGGACTGGTGTAATGTCTTCCATGACTATCGAAGGGTCTTGCTGCTTTAATCATTTAATCATGACAATACCTCAAATCTGATGCTGATTCAACCATGCATACAAACAGAACTTTGACCTTGACGTTTATATGCTGACCTTGACATTGGATTTTTTTCTAACCAGATGCAATGTTCACCAAAACTCTCAAACCAGAAGTATCTCAATCACTGACATTTAAAAAAATAGAACAATCATTACTCAACCCATTGCTTTTTTGTATAGTTAACCGTCAGACTGACAAACGTAGACGGTTAAACCAACGTTTCGTCAAAAGTGCTCCCCTGACCTTGACCTTAACATGACAGAAGCAGCCATGTTTATTATGGTTGTTTAATAATGGTCGAAATGGTACATAAAATGGTAACCACGAGACAGAACGCACACCGGGACGGAGTGGCCAATGTTCCCACAAATAAACCTAACCAACTTCAAAACTCAAAACCGAAAGTTGATGAAAAATTAATTCAAGTGATATTGACTCGAAGATATTTTAGCGAATTGTATATTGTGTGCCAGTTACAATAAAAGTATTATGCACAAAGATACTAAAGTTTCGCCGGTATTATAATTAAGCACAAAAACACGTTGGCAAAACAAAGAAGTAGGATATAGACTGGATAAACAGTCTCCACTAAATAAACTTGGTAGGCCATTACTTATTATACTACTATTACAATATGAAAAAGATTTACTTTTTTTTTGGACAGAGTAAATAGGATTATTACATAACTCGTTATAAGCTATTACCTATAGTAATAGTTATGGAAGACAAAATTGGTAGAGAAATCCTTGAAACAGGAAGTCTGATCTAAATGGGATGACTCGGAACCGGAAGATAGCATGGATCTGCATTAAATATGTCGTGTGAAGAAGCTGAAGTACCGTCAGTACAGCCGAACATTGTCGTGTGAAGAAGCTGAAGTACAGTCAGTACAGCCGAACATTGTCTTGTTAAGAAGCTGAAGTACCGTCAGTACAGCCGAACATTGTCGTATGAAGAAGCTGAAGTACCGTCAGTACAGCCGAACGTTGTGATGAAGAAGCTGAAGTACCGTCAGTACAGTCGAACATTGTCGTGTGAAGAAGCTGAAGTACGGTCAGTACAGCTGAACATACTCGTGTGAAGAAGCTGAAGTTCCCTCAGTACAGCCGAACATTGTGGTGTCAAGAAGCTGAAGTTCCCTCAGTACAGCCGAACACTGTGGTGTGAAGAAGCTGAAGTACCGTCAGTACAGTCGAACATTGTCGTGAAGAAGCTGAAGTTCCCTCATTACAGCCGAACATTGTCGTGTGAAGAAGCTGAAGTTCCGTCAGTACAGCCGAACATTGTCGTGAAGAAGCTGAAGTACCCTCAGTACAGCCGAACATTGTCGTGAAGAAGCTGAAGTTCCCTCATTGCAGCCGAACATTGTCGTGTGAAGAAGCTGAAGTACCGTCAGTACAGCCGAACATTGTCTTGTCAAGAAGCTGAAGTACCGTCAGTACAGCCGAACATTGTCGTATGGAGAAGCTGAAGTACCGTCAGTACAGCCGAACGTTGTGCTGAAGAAGCTGAAGTACCGTCAGTACAGCTCAACATTGTCGTGTGAAGAAGCTGAAGTACGGTCAGTACAGCTGAACATACTCGTGTGAAGAAGCTGAAGTTCCCTCAGTACAGCCGAACATTGTGGTGTCAAGAAGCTGAAGTTCCCTCAGTACAGCAGAACACTGTGGTGTGAAGAAGCTGAAGTACCGTCAGTACAGTCGAACATTGTCGTGAAGAAGCTGAAGTTCCCTCATTACAGCCGAACATTGTGGTGTGAAGAAGCTGAAGTAACGTCAGTACAGTCGAACATTGTCGTGAAGAAGCTGAAGTTCCCTCATTACAGCCGAACATTGTCGTGTGAAGAAGCTGAAGTTCCGTCAGTACAGCCGAACATTCTCGTGAAGAAGCTGAAGTTCCCTCAGTACAGCCGAACATTGTCGTGAAGAAGCTGATGTTCCCTCATTGCAGCCGAACATTGTCGTGTGAAGAAGCTGAAGTTCCGTCAGTACAGCCGAACATTGTCGTGTGAAGAAGCTGAAGTACCCTCAGTACAGCCGAACATTGTCGTGTGAAGTAGATGAAGTACCGTCAGTACAGTCAAACATTGTCGTCTGAAGAAGCTGAAGTTCCGTCAGTACAGCCGAACATTGTCGAGTGAAGAAGCTGAAGTACCGTCAGTACAGTCGAACATTGTCGTGAAGAAGCTGAAGTACCCTCATTACAGCCGAACATTGTCTTGTGAAGAAGCTGAAGTACCGTCAGTACAGCCGGACATTGTGATGAAGGAGCTGAAGTACCGTCAGTACAGCCGAACATTGTCGTGTGAAGAAGCTGAAGTACCGTCAGTACAGCCGGACATTGTGATGAAGGAGCTAAAGTACCGTCAGTATAGTCGAACATTGTCGTGTGAAGAAGCTGAAGTACCGTCAGTACAGCCGGACATTGTGATGAAGGAGCTGAAGTACCGTCAGTACAGTAGAACATTGTCGTGAAGAAGCTGAAGTACCCTCATTACAGCCGAACATTGTCTTGTGAAAGCTGAAGCAGTACAGCCGTACATTGTCGTGATGAAGGAGCTGAAGTACCGTCAGTACAGCCGAACATTGTCGTGTGAAGTAGAAGAAGTCAGTACCGACATTGTGATGTAGCTAAAGTACCGTCAGTCGAACATTGTCGTGTGAAGAAGCTGAAGTTCCGTCAGTACAGCCGAACATTGTCGAGTGAAGAAGCTGAAGTACCGTCAGTACAGTCGAACATTGTCGTGAAGAAGCTGAAGTACCTTCAAGCCGAACATTGTCGTGTGAAGAAGCTGAAGTACCGTCAGTACAGCCGATCATTGTGCTGAAGAAGCTGAAGTACCGTCAGTACAGCCGAACATTGTCGTGTGAAGAAGCTGAAGTACCGTCATTACAGCCGAACATTGTCGTGTGAAGAAGCTGAAGTACCGTCAGTACAGCCGAACATTGTGATGAAGAAGCTGAAGTACCGTCAGTACAGCCGAACATTGTCGTGTGAAGAAGCTGAAGTACCGTCAGTACAGCCGGACATTGTGATGAAGGAGCTGAAGTACCGTCAGTACAGCCGAACATTGTCGTGTGAAGAAGCTGAAGTACCGTCAGTACAGCCGAACATTGTGATGAAGGAGCTGAAGTACCGTCAGTACAGCCGAACATTGTCGTGTGAAGAAGCTGAAGTACCGTCAGTACAGCCGAACATTGTCGTGTGAAGAAGCTGAAGTACCGTCAGTACAGCCGAACATTGTCGTGTGAAGAAGCTGAAGTACCGTCAGTACAGCCGAACATTGTCGTGTGAAGAAGCTGAAGTACCGTCAGTACAGCCGGACATTGTGATGAAGGAGCTGAAGTACCGTCAGTACAGCCGAACATTGTCGTGTGAAGAAGCTGAAGTACCGTCAGTACAGCCGAACATTGTCGTGTGAAGAAGCTGAAGTACCGTCAGTACAAACGAACATTGTCGTGTGAAGAAGCTGAAGTACCGTCAGTACAGCCGAACATTGTCGTGTGAAGAAGCTGAAGTACCGTCAGTACAAACGAACATTGTCGTGTGAAGAAGCTGAAGTACCGTCAGTACAAACGAACATTGTCGTGTGAAGAAGCTGAAGTACCGTCAGTACAGCCGAACATTGTCGTGTGAAGAAGCTGAAGTTCCGTCAGTACAGCCGAACATTGTCGTGAGCTGAAGTAGCTGAAGTGTCGTGTGAAGAAGCTCAGTACAGTCAGTACCGAACATTGTCGTGTGAAGGAGCTGAAGTACCGTCAGTACAGCCGAACATTGTCGTGTGAAGGAGCTGAAGTACCGTCAGTACAGCCGAACATTGTCGTGTGAAGAAGCTGAAGTACCGTCAGTACAGCCGAACATTGTCGTGTGAAGAAGCTGAAGTACCGTCAGTACAGCCGAACATTGTCGTGTGAAGAAGCTGAAGTACCGTCAGTACAGCCGAACATTGTGATGAAGAAGCTGAAGTACCGTCAGTACAGCCGAACATTGTCGTGTGAAGAAGCTGAAGTACCGTCAGTACAGCCGAACATTGTCGTGTGAAGAAGCTGAAGTACCGCCAGTACAGCCGAACATTGTCGTGTGAAGGAGCTGAAGTACCGCCAGTACAGCCGAACATTGTCGTGTGAAGAAGCTGAAGTACCGTCAGTACAGCCGAACATTGTCGTGTGAAGAAGCTGAAGTACCGTCAGTACAGCCGAACATTGTCGTGTGAAGAAGCTGAAGTACCGTCAGTACAGCCGAACATTGTCGTGTGAAGAAGCTGAAGTACCGTCAGTACAGCCGAACATTGTCGTGTGAAGAAGCTGAAGTACCGTCAGTACAGCCGAACATTGTCGTGTGAAGAAGCTGAAGTACCGTCAGTACAGCCGAACATTGTCGTGTGAAGAAGCTGAAGTACCGTCAGTACAGCCGAACATTGTCGTGTGAAGAAGCTGAAGTACCGTCAGTACAGCCGAACATTGTCGTGTGAAGAAGCTGAAGTACCGTCAGTACAGCCGAACATTGTCGTGTGAAGAAGCTGAAGTACCGTCAGTACAGCCGAACATTGTCGTGTGAAGAAGCTGAAGTACAGCCAGTACAGTCGAACATTGTCGTGAAGAAGCTGAAGTACCGTCAGTACAGCCGAACATTGTCGTGAAGAAGCTGAAGTACCGTCAGTACAGCCGAACATTGTCGTGTGAAGAAGCTGAAGTACCGTCAGTACAGCCGAACATTGTCGTGTGAAGAAGCTGAAGTACCGTCAGTACAGCCGAACATTGTCGTGAAGAAGCTGAAGTTCCGTCAGTACAGCCGAACATTGTCGTGTGAAGAAGCTGAAGTTCCGTCAGTACAGCCGAACATTGTCGTGTGAAGAAGCTGAAGTACCCTCAGTACAGCCGAACATTGTCGTGAAGAAGCTGAAGTACCGTCAGTACAGCCGAACATTGTCGTGTGAAGAAGCTGAAGTACCGTCAGTACAGCCGAACATTGTCGTGTGAAGGAGCTGAAGTACAGCAAGTACAGCTGAACATTGTCGTGTGAAGAAGCTGAAGTACCGCCAGTACAGCCAAACATTGTGATGAAGGAGCTGAAGTACAGCCAGTACAGTCGAACATTGTCGTGTGAAGGAGCTGAAGTTCCGTCAGTACAGCCGAACATTGTGATGAAGAAGCTGAAGTACCGTCAGTACAGCCGAACATTGTGGTGTGAAGAAGCTGAAGTACCGTCAGTACAGCCGAACATTGTCGTGTGAAGAAGCTGAAGTACCGTCAGTACAGTGGAAAATTGTGGTGTGAAGAAGCTGAAGTACCGTCAGTACAGCCGAACATTGTCGTGTGAAGAAGCTGAAGTACCGTCAGTACAGCCGAACATTGTCGTGTGAAGAAGCTGAAGTACCGTCAGTACAGCCGAACATTGTCGTGTGAAGAAGCTGAAGTACCGTCAGTACAGCCGAACATTGTCGTGAAGAAGCTGAAGTACCGTCAGTACAGCCGAACATTGTCGTGTGAAGAAGCTGAAGTACCGTCAGTACAGTCGAACATTGTCGTGTGAAGAAGCTGAAGTACCAGTCAGTACAGCGTGAAGAAGCTGAAGTACCGTCAGTACAGCCGAACATTGTCGTGAAGAAGCTGAAGTACCGTCAGTACAGCCGAACATTGTCGTGAAGAAGCTGAAGTTACCGTCAGTACAGCCGAACATTGTCGTGAAGAAGCTGAAGTACCGTCAGTACAGCCGAACATTGTCGTGAAGAAGCTGAAGTACCGTCAGTACAGCCGAACATTGTCGTGTGAAGAAGCTGAAGTACCGTCAGTACAGCCGAACATTGTCGTGAAGAAGCTGAAGTACCGTCAGTACAGCCGAACATTGTCGTGTGAAGAAGCTGAAGTTCCGTCAGTACAGCCGAACATTGTCGTGAAGAAGCTGAAGTACCGTCAGTACAGCCGAACATGTCGTGTGAAGAAGCTGAAGTACCGTCAGTACAGCCGAACATTGTCGTGAAGAAGCTGAAGTTCCGTCAGTACAGCCGAACATTGTCGTGTGAAGAAGCTGAAGTTCCGTCAGTACAGCCGAACATTGTCGTGAAGAAGCTGAAGTACCGTCAGTACAGCCGAACATTGTCGTGTGAAGAAGCTGAAGTACCGTCAGTACAGCCGAACATTGTCGTGAAGAAGCTGAAGTACCGTCAGTACAGCCGAACATTGTCGTGTGAAGAAGCTGAAGTACCGTCAGTACAGCCGAACATTGTCGTGTGAAGAAGCTGAAGTACCGTCAGTACAGCCGAACATTGTCGTGTGAAGAAGCTGAAGTACCGTCAGTACAGCCGAACATTGTCGTGTGAAGAAGCTGAAGTACCGTCAGTACAGCCGAACATTGTCGTGTGAAGAAGCTGAAGTACCGTCAGTACAGCCGAACATTGTCGTGTGAAGAAGCTGAAGTACCGTCAGTACAGCCGAACATTGTCGTGTGAAGAAGCTGAAGTTCCGTCAGTACAGCCGAACATTGTCGTGAAGAAGCTGAAGTACCGTCAGTACAGCCGAACATTGTCGCGTGAAGAAGCTGAAGTACCGTCAGTACAGCCGAACATTGTCGTGAAGAAGCTGAAGTACCGTCAGTACAGCCGAACATTGTCGTGAAGAAGCTGAAGTACCGTCAGTACAGCCGAACATTGTCGTATGAAGAAGCTGAAGTACCGTCAGTACAGCCGAACATTGTCGTGTGAAGAAGCTGAAGTACCGTCAGTACAGCCGAACATTGTCGTGAAGAAGCTGAAGTTCCGTCAGTACAGCCGAACATTGTCGTGAAGAAGCTGAAGTACCGTCAGTACAGCCGAACATTGTCGTGTGAAGAAGCTGAAGTACCGTCAGTACAGCCGAACATTGTCGTGTGAAGAAGCTGAAGTACCGTCAGTACAGCCGAACATTGTCGTGTGAAGAAGCTGAAGTACCGTCAGTACAGCCGAACATTGTCGTGAAGAAGCTGAAGTTCCGTCAGTACAGCCGAACATTGTCGTGAAGAAGCTGAAGTACCGTCAGTACAGCCGAACATTGTCGTGTGAAGAAGCTGAAGTACCGTCAGTACAGTCGAACATTGTCGTGAAGAAGCTGAAGTACCGTCAGTACAGTCGAATATTGTCGTGAAGAAGCTGAAGTACCGTCAGTACAGCCGAACATTGTCGTGTGAAGAAGCTGAAGTACCGTCAGTACAGCCGAACATTGTCGTGTGAAGAAGCTGAAGTACCGTCAGTACAGCCGAACATTGTCGTGTGAAGAAGCTGAAGTACCGTCAGTACAGCCGAACATTGTCGTGTGAAGAAGCTGAAGTACCGTCAGTACAGCCGAACATTGTCGTGTGAAGAAGCTGAAGTACCGTCAGTACAGCCGAACATTGTCATGTGAAGAAGCTGAAGTACCGTCAGTACAGCCGAACATTGTCGTGTGAAGAAGCTGAAGTACCGTCAGTACAGTCGAACATTGTCGTGAAGAAGCTGAAGTACCGTCAGTACAGTCGAACATTGTCGTGTGAAGAAGCTGAAGTACCGTCAGTACAGCCGGACATTGTCGTGTGAAGAAGCTGAAGTACCGTCAGTACAGCCGAACATTGTCGTGTGAAGAAGCTGAAGTACCGTCAGTACAGCCGAACATTGTGGTGTGAAGAAGCTGAAGTACCGTCAGTACAGCCGAACATTGTCGTGTGAAGAAGCTGAAGTACCGTCAGTACAGTCGAACATTGTCGTGTGAAGAAGCTGAAGTACCGTCAGTACAGTCGAACATTGTCATGTGAAGAAGCTGAAGTACCGTCAGTACAGCCGAACATTGTCGTGTGAAGAAGCTGAAGTACCGTCAGTACAGTCGAACATTGTCATGTGAAGAAGCTGAAGTACCGTCAGTACAGTCGAACATTGTCGTGTGAAGAAGCTGAAGTACCGTCAGTACAGCCGAACATTGTCGTGAAGAAGCTGCTTCCTAACGGAACGTGACAGGTGGTTGTGAGGGTCCACTTACCTGTGCCACAGACGCCCAGACCGCTGATGAGGAGCAGATAACATACGACGTACGTTCGCAACATGTTGTTACAAGTGATCGTCTGTGAATGAAAGACAGCGGAGTTTTAGTACAATATTAATACTTAACTAAGTAAACATGAGAAAAAGAAGAGGAAAATGATTACATTACGATGTCCGTTCGCTTAATTCGATGTGAAGAGTCCCTTAGGTCAGGCACGCACTAGGAGTGAAACGGTATACCGCGGTATTTTGCCTGCCGTTCAGTATACCGTAATGCTATCCAAAAATTCAGTATTTTCGGTTTTCGTACCGTAATTATATTGACCTTTATAAACCTTTTCTAAATGTCTAGAAATCGAATCATTGTCAAAATATATGCCGCTTTTTTCCCGGAAGTTCGAGACTGCCTCAGCTCGTCTACAAGCAGAGACCATCCAGTCAGCAAGACAGCTACTGCAGATACTAGCGCGGATCAGTAGCTGGCCTCCATTTCTTTTTCAGTTGTTTCAAATCAGACGAACAGCGTCGAGGTGCAACACACCTCGTTTTAACGCGGGTGCCATCCGAAAACGTATGATGACAGAAAACACATAATAAAACGATATTCCTTGATTTCATTTTATTTGATTACATTTGATCCCATTTTCACTCTTTGCAGTAACATCGCAGAAAACGTGCGTGAAATGGCGTCACCTCATTCTATACGTTCACCAGTCACCACTTCCGCTTACCATGTTCATGAGGGTCCGCTTTTCGCGCCTACCGCGGTAGCATCAATTTTACATTATTCTCAGCAATCACAAACTAAATACCGGCTCGTCATCCATGGACCCCTTGACCCGCGTTATTGACTCATTGAAGTCATATTTTACATTCTAAGATGCCTAGCGGTTAGAACAATCGAAAAAACAAACATTAACAGACAATTAAGGTATAGTTTTTTTGATGACGTAACAATTGAATGACTTTATCCTGTCACTGCGCCATTCTAGTGTGCCCCCTCGTAATCGAACCATTTTACATTACGTCACAATGTAAGCGACGTCACGATGCATGTCAGTTGCCATCGCCTCGTACGGCCTCCTACAGTAAACTACGCCGTTGCATCCCGTTTCTTGGTTTGCAGTTGCTTCACGCAGCTAACATCACTGGTGGAAACATTACGTTTATGTTTTACGACGGTTAAAATGTGTCAATTCGACTCACAAGTTTTCAGCGACACCGTAACGTTCGCAATGTTTACATTCCCACAATGCAATCGTGGAATGTCGCTTGACTACTCAGCTTCATCTGGATGTACTGATCTAAACTTACGTTGGTAGTAGAAATGCGACGTTCATATTGCCCCATATGGTTTACGTTAATGACAAATGTAATTAAAATAGTTTAGAGAAGATATTTAATCCGAATGTAAACCGTCATCAAACTGTTATCATTTGTTTTTTTCTGGTAACGTTCGTCTTAACGTAGGGGGGGGCAGACACATCAATAGAACAGCGCGCCAGTTAGCCCTGTGCGAGGATTCATAATTTAGGTCACCGAAACGGTCGTTTGTTTTCTGCCTTAAATTAATCGTAATTATCCCTAGAAAGTATTAAATTTGGCATCTTAGAAAAAGAAATACAGTTCGCTCTACCACCATGCACGCAAGCGTCCTCGTACTTTATCTATAATAGTTCAGGGCGAAAGTGTGCTTTATTACACTATACATGGTGGTAGAGCGAACTGTATTTCTTAAATTAATGGCCAACAGTTTGTAAAATCAAACAGAACCAGGTACCCCAGGAAGTCAACGGTGACTTGTCAAACTGTCTCCTGTGTAAAATGTAAGCCACGTAACCAAAGGTGCAGAGTGTTAATTATTATGTTAAACATATTTGAGAAACATGCATTATACTTAAACGATAGCACTATGTATAATCTCTGTTACAATAATTGCTTGAGATATAACCTATTCTGGTAACGGAATAGAATTTCTTTGATGTTATATGTTCGGATCGTTTATAACTAAATCACCGGTAGATTCGAGCAAAACATGTGTACACAGCTGATTGCTAGTTCCAGCTGAGTTTAATAACAGGATGGTTGATTGCAAGTTTCCTGTACATATCTATTTTCATGTACAAAGTTTGTATTTTTCACCTCCAACAACACGATATAGTTTTGACTGGGCACAGCAGACGAAATACCAGTTCTGCTATGTTCATTGAAAATACGTTTTTAGTTATCCTTTATTCCGTTCTAAGCAGGGGCGGATCCAGATTGATTTAGAACATTGACAGTGATCAGTCACACAGACTGGTAACCGTCATATGACTACAGTGTTGTGTTAATTGGTTTACTATATATTATTTATACCATCAACAGAGTCACATTCGACAAGATCTGATTTGTGTATTGTTGTTTTAAAACATGAACATTTCTGGGACATAGGTGATTTCACTACAGTAAATGTTGATGTGATGATAGTAGTACTATTAGTTCCCCTACAACCACGCTTTTTCGTTCTGAATGGTTTCAGATTTCATTCGTGACGTTTTATAATGTATGGCACTTATCTAGAGCTATACTTATCCCTCATAAGATTTAGCAAATATCAATGATCCATAGTCTCATTAGGAATGACAATGTAAATTCAGATTTATAACGTTATCTGCTCCCCATGAGTGCAGAATTGAAATGAATGAATATAATTCACATCGACACGTGAGCTTACCAAACGAATCACTATATGGTCTGGAATGTAAATGCAATCGTAAAAACGAAAATGGATTTATTCGGGAATTTATAGCCAAAGTATAGCATGGTTATTTATCGACTATTTATCGATACAGTGTTACTTAGTCTCCTATATCATATATGCAGAACTGTAATCCAAATTCGTGAATAACCTTGATTCCTGGATCGCGGAAATTTTCATGCAAGCTCGTAAATTAAGTCTCGACTAACGTCACGAAGCAATATTTTGATGTACATGCAATGCCACGCCTCGCTGACAAAAAGTTCCGAATTTCTGCATTACATGCAAGCACACTAAATATAATTATTCAACAAACGTTTCATTCACGAGTGGAATATTAGGCATTTTCAATTTGCTGGATCAATGAATAAAGTAAGCAGTACGTACACAAAATGAAATCATCTATTTAATACATGAATTTCGCCGTACTTTCCCTTATATCCAAGAATCAAAGTTACGCGAGAGTACAATTTTTTTCGGCATGAATATAATCTTTTCACAGAAAAAAAAGTATATAATATTATTTGAAAAAGACTATAGTATGAATCTCTCGCGCGGTGATCAACGCATTCAACATCGTTAACACAACTTTTTTGCCCAACTTCTTTGAGTGGCATTTTAGAAGTTGGAAAGAACAATATAGAACAAACTTTATGGATAACAACGGTACAAGAATCTGTATCGAAACGTCGCACTCACGAATAAAAAGAAGTTGTTATCCATAAAGTTAGTTCTATATTGAACTTTTTGCTCAGCTGACTGTGTTGTTTTGGGTTTTTTGCGCTATGTTCCATTTCAAGAAAGTCTCCGCTACAATCAGTCGCGAGCGAGCATCAATGGATACGAAACTACAACATTATCACATTATCCGACGAACTATAAGTCAGAGCTGATATAAGTGAAATAAAGATATTAGGCATCGTTTTGTTGGCAACTGTAGCTACAGAACCGAAGCGATGTGATTTCATTTCTAGAACATACATGCATTGTAATTATGTACGACCATGTGATGTTTTCGCACAAGACAAAGTCTTTACTGAAATCAACCGACTAGAAGGAAACAATTGGCCAATGAAATCAACAATCATCGATGGAAACATGTTTCCAAATTTGCACTTTGTGCAGCTGACTGGCAGTGCCATAACATGTGAGATGGTGACCTATCCCAGGAAGACCAGATTACGAATCGCTGGTAGCGATTGCCCAAAACAGGTACTCTGTTTTTATCATTAGGATTAAATATCAATTGTTATTAATGAATAATGCAACATGTCTTTTACAATACTTGTAAATGTTACCAATTACAATGATTAAAGTAATATTGGCTAAGAAAATATTTAGAATTATGAGTTCCTATTACAATAATTAACGAACATGTTTGTTTTTTTATGCAGTCAACTGAAAGAACCACCAGCACATCATCAATCAGTAAATCTCAGGAGTCACTTACACATCACCCATCAACCTTTTCATCTGTAAGTTGATAATAAATTCATAAATAAATACATAATAAGTTAATATATAACTGTGTTTATAATATTTGCAATGTTGTAATTTTATAATGATTGAAAGTAATATTGGCAAACAAATTACTGTTGCTAATTCCGACACCAAATCAGCTATCTCTGACCACATCAAAGCAAACCCAAATCATCAAATAAAGTGGTCCGACTTCACCATTCTCGCCAACAACCAAACGGACTTCACTAAACGCAAGCTCACCGAAGCCATTCACATCAAACGCCATAAGCCCACCATCACCCGTGACCAAGGATACTTCATTCCATCAGCTTATGATCCACTCCTCCACCAAGCCCAATCTATTGTATAAACATCGCACCTATTGTATAAACATCTCCTTCATTGTAACTACTCCTGTATTTATACATCTCTGGCTTCCATTCACTATCCTTTGTGTACTCACTGGCTTCATCAGCTTACTGCTTAACCAATTATGGCAATTATGTTGTTTCCTTTGTCAATTACAATGTATGTTGTTTCATTGTTATATACAGTATATATATGCAGCTCCTCCACTTCATGTATCACTCTTGCTTGACAACGGTACAAGAATCTGTATCGAAACGTCGCACTCACGAAATAAAGAAGTTGTTATCCATCAAAACTTGTTCCATATTGACTTTATATCTTGTTGATATTGTTCTAAATCCTGTGTTTAGTACTCAAATGTACTTATCTAAGACATATCGAAAAAACTACCTCTCACAACTAAATATTTATCTTGGATGTGTTGAATGTTGACTTTATATGTTGTTGATATTCTTCTAAATCCTGTGTTTAGTACTCAAATGCACTTATTTAAGATATTCCGACAAAAAA